CAACAGCCATCTTATCGGCTGATTTGGGCTTGGTTCTCAATGTGAGTAGTGAAAGGCTGCTGAACAGAGTCGACTGTTTGTTCCGAACAGGTGCTTCCAGCACCGCAAATAACACTTGCTAAGCTGGAACTCCAACGACGGACAGTCAGTTTGACTACCTTTTAGTCAGGTCAGGATTTCGTAGATGGGTTCGTAAGAGTAGGTCGCTGCGTGGTGCTGAGACTGGTAATGCCCATGAGTTTGACCACGTTCTTGTCCGCATGCGCTTGAAAGCTCACCTCTCATCAGCGCCCAAAATGCCACGCGCTAGACGCCGCGATGCCGCCAAAATTCGGCAACCTAGCATTGCTGTTACACGACTCGAGCTGACAGAGAAGAGAGTAGCCCATGGTCCTCAGTCTATGGGGCAGTCGAGAAAATTCTTGGATACACCCAGCGAGGTTGCTGCCGAATGGACAGAGTAAGGACGACCATGCCTCCCCAATTGACGCAGCTTAACGAGTCTTCTCCAGCCTTTAGAAGCGCCTATGGATCCGACGCGATATTTCTATCCCCACAAAGGTCCGCGTGTATCGTGCATCTGTGCGGTCCGTTCTTCTGTACGGATGAGAATGTTGGGCTATAGGCGTCTTTGACTACTAATGCTTGAGGACCATCATTCGTCTCAAACAAGACAGTCCGCACTCGATACGAAAACATTGCAAGGATATCCCAGGCAATCCAAGAAAGGCGACTGAGATGGTTTGGACACGTTCTTCGCCGTAAACCTCACGAGCGCAATGTTACTGCCCTCAACCCGAAACCGAATTCGAAACGTCCAAGTGGGAGTTAACTCAAAATCTGGCTCGACTCAGTCTGTCAGGACATGGAAGTGGTTCTTGGACCTTCGATATTTGGTCTCCGGTGCTGGCAGATAGAATGGCTCGAACTGTCCAGGTCTGCGACCACGGATCGTCGCGCGTGGAGAAGCACCATACGGGACATAATTGAAACCGGCTGGATCAGTCATGATCGCAGCCGCAACAAGTAGTAGTAGTAGTAGTAGTAGTAGTAGTAGTAGTAGTAAGTAGCAAAGCTGTTGATGGAACTTTCTGGATGGTTGCCAACTTCACAGTCGGACAAAAAACTCTGGCCAAGTCAACCTTAATTATACCCCTCTACTTTTTGAACCGATCCCTGTGAAATCTATTCAGAGGGCGCTGTTGAATTGACACCGGAGAGGAGCACGCCTTTCGGCCGTCGGGACGCATGACCATGCCACCTCATATTAAAACTGTTTACTGCAATTTCAGCAGGTGGTATATTGCCAACAGTCAATGTGCTGTTCGTGAATCGAGGGCGCAGTATTGATCAGAAGTCAACCGCATACAGAGGAAAGGTTTCACAGGGTTCTGGTCAAAGCTTCATAGACGCGTGACCGTTTCTTCCGCTGAACCTCGCGGAGAAACCAGAGTTATTCCCAATAATGGCAGAAAATGTTCCGCACGAGTTATAAGTGGTAGGCAATATCGGTTTGAGAGTAGCCAATAGGTAGCAGGAGAGGGCCGACATGTTTGGAGTATTAGACTGTCTGAATACCAGCCAACCTTGAGTGAGCGAGACAATGGTTGCAGCGCAAAACTGTGGAAAAGATTTCCTTTCTGTCAATGTTAGTTTTAAGAGCAAACTGTGCAGTAAAGGGCGGGTGTGTTGGTGTCACGAAGCGGTATAATTGGCAAGAAGTCCGAAAAGAGGTCTTGTCCTCACAGTCAGACAGCATCAAAACTACCGGGTAGTTGTAGGACCGACGGGAAGCCACAACCTTGTCAGATGCCAAAGTGGTCGCATGAACGTTTAGTGTTTAAGCTGACAGTAAGTATCGACCGAGATTATGAGATTTAGGGACATGTGATCAGTTGCATGGTCTTAATTACCATTGCACCCAGAGCAAATGATTGAACATCTAACTATTCATTAACAATATTATTTTAGGTTTCACCACGTAACACACATCTGTTCGAAACTGACGATCAGGGAAAAATACGCCACCTAGTGAATCGAACAGGGAGTAGGGCCTCCAATTTTGCGCGCGATATCGTCCCCCATCTTGAAGAACTGAAATAAAAGGACAACAGAATGCGTCGACGCCACAAAGTGAAACAGTTCCCCCAGACAGTGATAGCACTGAGGCCGAAGCATTCTTATCGCAGTACTAAGACAGAGTAGGAATATTGCCGGCAAAAATCACAGCTCTAAGCGGCAATAAAAGCAAACGGGGCAAATTAACCACTCAACCGTTAAAGGAGCGTTTTGAATGAAATACGTAAGTCAGCGATGTAAGGTAGAGGAAGGAATAGTACTGATTCGAGAAGTTCGTCGAAAGTTGACTCGTGAAATGAACGCCCAGTGTGGTATGATAATAAGAATTACCAAGGCAGAGTTTTAAGAACTATAACGGTCCAGGAACAGAACCGTTTTATCACATACGCGAGTCAAAACTAAATTGTTTGACTAAGACATCATCAGAAAGATAAACTAGATAAATAGGGATGCAAGTAAGTTTAGCCTGGAGAGATTTTTGAGTAATGGGGAGGGCGCTATAAAGTGTATTCCCATAGGGCCGAGACTCCGCTTAACCAACTCATTGCCGTCCTAGGGACAGACTCATAACCGAAAGGGCGACAATCGGCCGTGGGCAACTAGTACCGAACAGCAGCAGTCTTTAAGGACCACCTGTGGTTGATATACAACTCTTGCATTCACAAAAAAGATGAATGCCGATAATAGCAAATCAAATGAGTTCAAATGGCTTGAAAAGCTTGTATGAGGAAGCAGTAAGGGTGAACATTTAGAAACACAGGGAACTAAAAGGAGGAAATCATAAACAGGAAATTTGAAGAAATTCATACTACAAGTACACTAAAAACCAACCTCAAACAGCTAAATCCACCGAATATAGCACCCGTTGCTACACCGACACAGAAGCCCATCACAAATCCCATTTTCATCCTGCTAAAACAGGACGGCTGAGACATTTGTCCATAGGAACCAGAAGGGACTGGCATTCCGTGGCTATAAGGATGTGTTATTAGGTAAGGACCAGAAAACTGGGGAGTAAAAAGCGAAAGTAAAAACAAAGAATTTATTTTTGTCAAAGAAATCACATGTTTAGATAAACGACACTGTTGATGCATCATGATATCAGCCACCG